GCCTGCCTTCCCTCCGCTCCCGGTCCTGAGCAGCCGGGAATTGTCCGTCCCGGCTCCGCGGATTGAGCGCGGGGCCGGTGCCCGCGGGGTTTTCCAATAGCCGCATTCCATTAGGGCCCCGCGCTGCTCTTCCCATGGGCGATGGCAAAAGTCCCATTGGCTTCGCAGGGGCGAGAGCAAGCCCTTAATGGCCTGGGAAGGTAAGGCTTTGGGATTTTCTGCCGCTTTGGGTTTTTTTGGTGACATTTAAAACCATGGCCACTTCATATCACCTGTCCCAAAGTCGGGAGAGACCTCAGGTCATCCCGCAAAGGCAAAGAAACGCTGCTAAAGCTCCAAGAGAGCAGGAGAGGCATTTTGCCACGCAGAAATCACAAGCCTGCGTCCAACTGCCGGGACAGCGGCATGCCCTGCTCTGCTCCTGGGCAAAACTGGGACAAAACGAAGCTGGCTCGAAAAGGAATGCGTTCCTTCATCAGCACAGACATTTTCAAAGTCATTTCCCGCTCACGGAAATCCAAGCCCATTTTCTCCTCGTTTGAGATGATGGTTGTGTTTCTTGAATGTATTTTTAGTTGCAGTGTGTATCAGAACGTTTTGCTGAGCGAGTTCTGGGTGAGTTGAAAGGTGCCAAAGACAGTTTCTTTTCAAAAGGGTTGTCCAAAAGTGTCACCAAAAATAAAACATGAAACAAGTTTCTCAAGTGTCATTTGAAACAACAACACCACTCATCGGAAAGCTGGGAAGAGTGACAGCAGCATAGTTCGTTGTCACGGGGTGGAGGATCTGAACCAGTGCCTGGATCTTATTCATAGGGAAAAAGTCCTTCCTCTCCCCATTATCTTTCTGGTGTTTGAATAGCTTTCGATAACGAGCCAAGGGAATCAGTCGTTGAGAAGACAGGCAAAAATATGGGTTATGGGCAGATGAACAAAGAAGCAGTGTCTTCCTCCTGAAAAACAAGCTGCCAGCCCCTTGGGGTTAGGTCCTGGGCGAAGCAATCCTTCCATCAGGTCCCGGAGGAGGGAGGGCACTAAAGGTGTCTGGAGAGCACAGGACAAGAAAGTGTCGCCTACCCAAAAGGTGATGCTCCGCATATCATAGGCAAAAGTCAAAATGTCAGGTGCGTTTGCTGTTGTGAGTGGCCTGGGGAACTGACCTGCAGACCCCTTACCAGTGTCCAGTCTTCTTTATAGCAAACAGCCTTCCCAGGTGGATTCTCCTGGGGGCTGCATGAAGGAGAGGCCAGCATACAGCCAGAGGTGCGCGTCACGATGAGTGCTGCTGTCGCACGGCACTCGTCCCTGTGTCGCTGGGTGTTTATGGGATGGGGCTGCGGTGTAGGGTGGGTTGTGCCCGCACGTGTGGCACGCGCATGTAGGAACAAGCGGTGCAGACTTGGGCATTAGGACACTGCGATCAGAGCACACAGGTGCAGAAGTACCCGTGCAGAAGGATGCACGTACCCCTGGGTATCAGCAGAGCCGGTGGGCGTGCGTGCAGCTTGCTGAGGCGGAAGAGCACTTTTTAGCGGGAGGAGTGACTGCACCGTGCTGTTGGATGGGCTATGTGTGCCCAAGGAACGTGCCATTTTGGCAACATCAGCACAGTGGACTGGCAGATGTTTACCCAGCACTTCTCCCACACTCTGGCTGTTCTTCTTCTTCCCTCTGTCCTTTCCACTGAGCGCCCCTTTCCCTCTTGAATCCTCCTCAGCTCTCTCCTTCTAATGATGTGACAGTGTTGCCATCTTTCTCCCAATTTTATTATGAATGGCAGGGGTTTAGCTGAGTTTTCCTCAACACCTCGGTGTCTAGTCCACCGAGATGCGAACATGGCGTGAAAAGGGCCAGCAGGTTCCAACGTATGGAGGGGACTGGGATCCTGGCGTGGCCATGTGATGCGTGCTTCCTTAGCCTTATTGCAACCTTTTCCCATTTTTCCCTAAGCAGTCATGGCATCTGAAGTGGGGGGTGGCAGCACTGGCCTGTGTGCCCCCTCCACCGTTCCAGCTGTGCATGCCCATGACCCCGGTACGCCTCAGCCGCCCCATCCTTGCCTGGGTTCCCTGGGAACTCACTCCATGGAGATGAGCCTCCCAAGAGCCAACAGGCCATGGGCACTTCATCCCCACCAAGTGCTGCCATCCGCCTCCGAAGGATGCTGTACCGTGGGGGTGTGTGTGTGCCCAGCCATGCGGGCTCCCCCTCTCCTGGAGGCCACCCCTCCAGTCTGTGTCCTGGATGCCCGTGTCCTCGCACACAGAGTCCTTCTCTCTCGGTCCATTAGTTTGTTTCCACTGCCATGGCCAGTGGCAGGCGCCCGGCTCTGAAAGCTGTATTAAAAGCCAGGTCAATACCAGCCCCCGCTTATTCCCTCTGGGGAAAGTGAATAAATAATAAAAGGAGGGAGGGACTTCGTTAATTAGCACTGGGGAGGAGAGGTGGAACAGGGACCCACGTGGAAAAATCAAGTCACACATGGGAAAAGCCAGGAGGCACCAGGATCCATGAACTCCTGTCCCCACTGTGTGCCCGACAGGAGGAGAGATAGTGATGCCTTTCCTGCCCCCCCGCAACCCCCTCCCCCGGTGCTCTGCTCTCCAGTTGTCACCTCTCTGCTCTTCCCTCATCCTCCCACCAGCTCCTCCTCCCTTCTTGGCAAGGCTTGCCAAAGGTGCCAGGTCACTGCTTGGCTGCGGAGCAGACCCGTGTGGGGCAGCTGTCCCCTCGCCCCACAGAACCCATGGGCCAGGACAAGGAATGGCCGCATCTGGGTCCAGACCCATCTTGGCAGTCTGTCCCTGCTCTTCCTCAAACGCACTCCCGTGTCACCTCACTTTCTCTTCTCCTTTTTCCCTCCCTCCTCCTCCGCCTGTCTGCTGCGCCTGCTTCTTCCTCTCACTCCTGCTATTTCCTTCCTTCCCCTTCTGCTTCTTCTCCCCCCCTTCCTCTCGCTTCTTGAACCAATTCCAAATTGATACCGAGATGTTTTTCTGCTTTGTAGACCAGGGGTTGGGCTGGACATCATTTCTGCAGCCATTCCCCCCACAGCTGGGTGCCCAGAGCAGCTGTTTGTCCTTCTGTTTGTCCTTCTGTCCTCCTGGCATCCCAGTTCGGAAGGAGGCATTCTGCTGCTCCTGAAGGAAAAGGCTCACCAGGTGTTCCCATATTTTGTGAAATGACAGCCAAGTGAGGTCTAGTTCTGGCTGATGCCTTCCCTCATTTCCCCATGTCCTTACTAGCCTCTAGCAAAAACAAAAAAAGGGCTTTGGTGGGTTTTTGGGTGTTTTTGAGCCTTACATCTAGAGCAGTGTCTTGCACGTCTCTGCCTCTCCATCAAACATCTGTAACCCTTCCCTGGGCAAAAATCTCTTTACCTCCAAAGCAAGCAGGATTGTTTGACCCACCCTCCTGGTAATTTCAATGCAAATGCTTCCCTTTTTGTATGGGGAAACATACATACGTTTTGTATGATCTTCTCTGAGCCTCTTTCTGTGGGACTCCCCCAAGGAGGCCCAGAACAAGGGAGGGCGCACGATGGAGCTTCCAGGCAACAAGGCCACACCAACAGCTCATCAGTCTCTAGACCAGGCTGCAGCCTTGGGGTCTCTCCTTTCCCTCCAAATCTCCCCCTGGGATATTAGACTTTATTAAAAATAAATAGTTACAAATTCAGTTTTACAGCTGATGGCAGCAGGGAGAAGAACGGAGGAGGAGAAAGGAGCAAGTCGAGGGTCTGCTGTCCAGTCAGGTCACTTGTCCGGCATCCCGGCCGCGCCGTGCCAGGGTGCAGTCTGAGTGTGCAAACACAGGGCCCTGCCTCCTCTGCCAGGTGCCTCGGGAGAGGAGCAGGGTGTGTTCTTCAAGAGGCCTGGGAGAACTGGGTCTGAGTCCGTGGAGCCGAGCTGCTTCTGGAGGTGACAGATGCCAAAAGCCAAGGAGAGCGCAGAGTAGGCCACGCGCAGCGTCCTTATCTCCTAGCTTGGCATTTGCAGTGGAAGAATATGGATTTCAGTTCTCAATCTGGTTTATGTACAAAGAGAGAGTCATGTGCAACAAGCAACAAACATGCAAGTAACCCCTCCCTAGAGATCCTTCCCCACTCCCTCCAGGAGTCCAGAACTCTCCCGGCCATCCTCCTCTGGTCAGTGCTTAGGTATCACTCGTTTCCTAGGGACGGTTCCAACTCTTCATATCCATGGGGCCTACCCACGCCGAGAGGCAACAGAAAGTCTGCTGTAGCCTCGGCAGCACTCGCTGTGGGTCCCGGCCTGTCTGTTGTGGGCACAGACTCCTGTCACCTCTCCAGAGATGAGAAACCAGGCATGCTGCTCTCCCATTGCCGGGGATCCTAGCACAAGCTGCACGCGCTGGAGGAGTAGTGTGTCCTCACTCCTCTTCCAGGCTGTGTGACTTCACAGGAAAGGGAACATATCAGAGCAGCTCCAGGCCTTGATGTACTCAGGGGCTGAGAGGCAGTCACGGGAGGCATTTTTTGGTGGGCAAGGGACTTATCCAGCTACGTACGGGTGCAGAACAGAGGAGGAGACGGTGGGCGATGGGTGTGGAACGAGTAGGCTGGAGGAGCTAGATGGCCGACTCCCTGCGGTATGAGATTGTATCTAGGGGCAGAGTTGCCTGGAGCCGCTCCAGGTCCAAGTGGCTTCCAAAATCCATCATCTGGATGACGCCTCCCTCTTCTTTAGTGCTGCCCCCTAACACCACACCCACTTCGTCATCGTCTTCATCTTCGTCTTGGCTGACAAGAGCCAGCTCGTTCTCGTAGCAGAAGGCACTGGGAGGTGGGGGGGAAGGTAGGATGGTCATCTTGCTTTCTTGCAGCTCCCGGGCTGAGCAGCAAGGTGTGCCGGCTACCTCGTAGGTCTTGTGAAAGCGTGAATAATCCACTTTGTAGTGGTTCTTCTCCTCAAACACAACTGGTTCAAAACGGTGACCCCAGAGGATCTCACTAGCAAGGTAAGAGCTTCGTGCCTGTGTGGTCATGGCTGTGGCTTCCACCATCCCCTCCAGGATAACAACAATCTCAAAGTTCTCCGTCTCCAGCTCCTCCTTGCCAATCCCATAGAGTGGGCTCTCCTCGTCAATCTCATGAACAATAATGATGGGCGAGACCAAAAATATACGATCCAGGCCCACGTCATAGCCCACATTGAGGTCCCGCTGGTCCAGGGGGAGGTATTCCCCTTCCTCTGTCATGTAGGGTTTGATGAGCTGGGCTCGGACGTGGGCCTCCACGATGTGGCTCCTCCTCAGGTTGCCCACCCTCCACATGAGGCACAGTTTGCCATCCCGCACGGAGATGACCGCATGGTGACTGAAGAGGAGGGTCTGGGCCCGCTTCTTGGGCCTGGCCATCTTGGCCATAATGGTGCCGATCATGAAGGAGTCAATAACGCAGCCCACGATGGACTGGATCACAACCGCCATGATGGCCAGCGGGCACTCCTCAGTCACGCAGCGGAAGCCGTAACCGATGGTTGTCTGTGTCTCCACTGAGAAAAGAAAAGCCCCCAGGAAGCTGTTCACATGCATGATGCAGGGCTTGAGGAGAGAGGGACCACCCCCCACCGCCGGTGCATTGAGGTCGCCATGGAAGAAAGCGATGCACCAGAAAAGGAAACCAAAGAAGAGCCAGGAGACCAGGAAGGCGGCGGAGAAGATCATGAGCATGTACCGCCAGCGCGTGTCCACGCAGGTGGTGAAGATGTCGGCCATGTAGCGCTGAGACTTGTTGCTCAGGTTGGCAAAGTAGACGTTGCACTGGCCGTTCTTCTTCACAAAGCGGTTGCGGTGCTTCCGCCGAGGGGCATGGCCCTTCCCGTTCCGGCTGTGCCCGTTCATGCTGCCCAGCGTGGAGACCTTGTGTCCATCCTCTTCGGTCGAGACGATGCTGTACCTGGAAGAGAAGAAATAGGCATTTTCAGCAAACATACATGAAGAACAACAACAACCACCGAGACAGTGAGGGTGGGAGACACGCGGGCAGCTCACAGGGCTATGTCAGCGTGGCGTTGTAGCACAACACCATGTTTCCCTGGTTATGGCACGGTGGTGCCACACTGACCAAATTGGTGGACCTTGGCTTCGATAGTTGCCAAGTCTTGCTGCCAGAAGGTTGTACCTGGCAATGTCCTGACAGGACAGCAAAGCAGGAGAAGCTTGTAGCGCTCTGCTTCCTTCCAGCCTTCGCGTGAGGAGGGACCCAAGGCCGATGGGACAGCTGGGAAGCCTGGGAACAAGCACCCGTGTTCTGGCCACATTTCGGCCCTGATATTACATAAGGCCTTGAGTTTCTATTTTCTCCTTCGCTCTCCTCACTGATTTCATGGTGCGTCGGTGACAATGTTTATACACTTCCTGGGCTCAGGACAATTCAGTTGCCACAGCAACGCGCGTGGCTCCCAGCATCCCGCATCCGAAGCCAAAGGTGTAATTTGGAGATCAACAGCCTAAGTGCTGGCAGATTTCCCTGGGAGAAGCTCCCCACATGCTTTCTGGGAGATATTTGCCCCCCCGCCCCAGGCTCCCCTCCCTCACAGGCAGAACCGCTGCTGCCCGTTGTGTGCTGCTGATGGGTCTGCGGTCACAGAGGTGGTGGCTCTGACCACTGAGGGAACCACAGGAGCACACAGACCCACCAAGACCGCTCTGCCCTCCTGACTGCCAAGCCCTGGCTCCCCAGGACCCGTTGGGCCGGCAGTGCCTCCCCCCAACCCCGTAGTGTTGACATGTCAGCCGGAGCCCTCCAGCATGGGCTATGTGTCCTTCATCCTCCTCTCGTGGGAAGAGTGAACAGGGGAAGCACATGTGGCTGGAATTGTGAGTCCTGGGGACAGGGGGCTTCTGCAGCACTGCTGGAATCTGTAATTTCTGGTCCACACAGTGCTTGACTTCCCCCCTGAGCACTGCCCCCACGTATGGTGTGTCTTGGATTGGAGGAGAGAGGAGCCACATCTTGGAGCAGGAAAGCCCCTGGCAGATAATTTGAGAGGAATATACCAAAATTCAGGCTGAAGGTAGGACCTGAGGGGCCACATGAGGGGGACCAGCCCACCCTGGGCAGCAGCAGCCCGTGAGGAGGGGGTTACTCACCTGTTGACTCGGACGCTGCCCATGGCTCGCTGTATCATCAGGTGTCAGGGGGCCGTGGGAGCTGGGAGGACACGGGATCTCATGCAGCAGCACTCACATGGGACCGGGCGGCTCCGGGTTTCACCTCCGGCGAGCTGGGACCCGTGATGCCATTGCGATTGCTCCTGGGCACGCGCCTTGCGGAGAAGGATGGAACAAAACGCAGTCAGAGACCCCCACCCCCACCCCGACAGCACCCATCCCATTCCCAGAGCAGGGGCGCAGGGCTCCCAGCCTTTTGCTCAGGAGGGGTCTGGAGGTGCCCCTGTGGCACTGTGCCAGAGCCTGGCTGTGGCAAGTGAGGAGATGATGGATGCAGAGCCTGTTGCACGGCACGCAGCCCCCATGTACTGCGGCGTCTGCTGGCAGGAGGGGTGCAGGGCTGGTGGGTCACCGCTCTGCACATCAAGGGCAGAAGGACTGAGCAGCTTGCAGGGCCCTTGCCCTGAGCCATCATATTAATATCGTAGCTTACAGCAGGACGAGAGCTCAGCCAGGCTAAATACCTCGCACACAAGGACTAGCAAAGCGCGGACAGGCACGGCAGCCCTCAGGGATCCCCGTCAGTGCAGCCTCACCCAGAGGGGACGTATTTCCAAGGGGCGCAGAACATCCTCCCCCTTGTTTCAGAGAGAAGAAAAGCGATGGGTAGAGCCAGAAGGGAGAACTGATGGAAGAGCTTAGGAGGAGGCGAGGAGAAGCCGGTTAGAGCAAACAGACCTTGCGACGTGCCCTGCGTACAGCATCCAAGGAGCGGCTCAGCCCAGGGAAGGGTGTCCAGCAGATGTTACGTCCCAACCCGCTCCTCCCCAAACTGAAGAACGGGGAAACCGAAGAGTCAAGAGCCGACCTAACCTGCCTGCCCAGAGCTGCTGGGAAGTGAAATGCAGTGAGGTGGTAATGATTCACAGATTAGGAAGGGCTTTGTACACCCATGCTAATCCCGCACTGTAACCTGTGGATTACAGCAACCAGTGCGGAGTGCAGGACGCAGGCACAGCCGGCTCGCTCGCTCCCTCCCAGCCTCACCAACGAGCAACCAGTGGTTCCTGTAACTGGGACAAATCCAAGGATTTCTGTGCCAAATCCAAGGTTTAGAGCTGGTCACGCATGGACAGGAGAGAGGAACAGCAAGTGATGTTGTCAGGGACAGAAAAGCCGGTGAGAATCATCCCTGTCTCACCGCGACCGTTGCAGGAAGGGCCTTCACGAGGCTAACGGCGACCACCAGCTTCCCCCAGTTAGGAGCACAGACTAGAAAGCAGCAAGTAAGGAGCTCCAGACATCACCTCTGATGTGCAAGTGCTGCCGTTGTCATGTCTGGGATGAAGATTAACCAGCAGTTTCTCCTCCAGAGACCAAGGTTACCGAAGCAGTTTAAGCCCGGCGGCAACACAAAGGTGGCTGCTCAGACCAGGGATGTTACGGGACCAGGAGAACACGGCAACCTTGTAGTCCACGACTCACCATATAGAGGTAAAAGAGAGCAGCTGCCTAAAGCTTCCCATCAGGAAAAAAGCACTTTGGCACTGAACCCTGCCAGCACCCATCCCCTCACTGCCCTACAGCGTCTGAGTCTTTAAGGAGGGTCGGCTTGGCCAGATACGGGAAATTTTGTTGTGTAGCTGGGTAAACCGACAGCAGGAAGTGGGATCGACAACCTAAATTCATCAGGAATGTTGAGGGGTGGCCAGAGGTGATTTCATGCCCGCAGATGGTCCCACTAGGACAAAGCTACCACGTATGTTCAGTGACTACGTGGTGAATTTGTGTGGCAGGGTCCCACACGCCTTTGGGAGGTGACAAAGGTGGGCAATTTCCCTCTGTGCCAGCTCCAGCCAGGCCACCCTCTCCAATCGGTGCCTTCCTTAGCCAGCCCGGATAAGCCAAGCCCCTCCTTAGCCAGCACTGACACTGATACTGGAGGCACTGTCACAGCTCATGTATGGATACTGCACAACTTCCTAAGGGTTTTTGACCACGACTCCCACCCCTTTCCCCAGCTGCAGGAACGGGTGCACAGTTTCAAGAGACTTTGGGTTTTTGGCCCAGGCGGTGGCCACCTCTAAAAGAAGAGACAGGAGGACCTAAGGAGCTTCTGCCCTCTGAAATGATGGGCAGCAGCACCCAGATCGCTGCCCTTAACCATCCCCACCCCACCCAGAAGGGGCAAAGGAAGCAGGCGGAATGCAGGGATCGCAAGGGCTCCGCTTTTGTTTGACACAGCTATGGGAAGGGATGGGCACACTCTTTAAAGTGCTGCCTCCCATGCTGCCGTGCTTCCCCCTGGCTCCCCCACGGGAGCTCAAGTCAGCCGGAGCGGTGCCACGGCCTCTCGCGCAGAGCCCACCGCCGCTGGATCTTGCAGCTCGGAGGCTGGGAGACATTCGCTGCTGGCTCCGCGGTGCCAAAACACAGCATCAGCAGCCAACACTACCTGCAATTTGTACTCGAATACAGGAGAAGTATTTCTGTGAAGAGTAACGGCGACACATGTGAACACACACACACTTTTGAGCGTATGAGAGAAAAGGGTTTTAGTAGGGGCTGTAGTGGCAGACCCGTGGTCACGGGCTGTACCCACACGCAGGACTCGCACGGATTCACAGCTGGTTTTCCCCTTCAGAAATTTTGCCGGTAGACTTGAGGACCTCGGTAATAAAATGCAGGGAGTTCACTCCAGAGACGAGCTGTTTGATGGACCAGTTTGCACCGGTTATTATCCTCTGGAGGCTCTGCAAGGTGAAGTCTATGCTGTACTTCATTGCGTTCAGGTTGGTCGCTTGGCTTGCTCTCAGGCTTTCATTCTCCTCCTTGGATCTCTCCAGCTCTCCCCGGAGGATGAAGATCTCCTTCTTCAGCTTCTCTGTGTTGCTCTCTGCCTCCAGCGCCCGCTGGGTCATGAGCTGGAGGCTCCGCGCAGTCTTCTGGGCAAAGGCCTGTAGCTCTTGGGCTTTCCTCTCCTCTTCGGCCAGTCTGGTGTTCAACTGCTCCTCCAGCCTCTGCACCATGGCCTCTCGCCTCTCCAAGGAGCTCTTCATGCTCTGGACCATCTTCCTGAGCGTGGCGTTCTCCTCCCTCATCGTGTCGTAGGTCAAGGGCAGGAACGGGAATGCCCGGTCCCTCACGGCCTCCTCATGCGGCATGTGGGGCTCAGCTGCCCCGCTGCTCTCAGGGTACCCCAGATAAGGGTCGCTGGCACAGGCCCACTGGGAAAAGGCATCCACCCCCGAGTACTTGCCCACGCCACGCTGGAAAGGGTCGTAGGAGCCACAGGGTGCCACACCGGCAGTTTGGAGGACATGTGACCTTGGATGTCCGGGAAGGTGACAGGTCCAGCCGAGGTCCTCATTTTCCGACACGCTGCCAGACCATCCTGTGTCTTTGTAAAATGGATCCCGAAACTTCTGAGCTTCCTCCTCACGCCCAAGTGCAGGCTTGTCCAACTCCTTGGCATATATTCCATTTTTCACTCTGTCGTCTTTCACCACGTAAGGGTGCCTGGGGTTGAGGGAAAATGGGATGGGTTCTCCCATATTCTTCATCTGGCTGTCACCTGAGCTGTGACAGATCTTGCTCTGGGGTGGAAGATGGGCAAAATAGCAGGGGTAGCCGAATTTGTCATTGCTGGCGTCACCTTCCAAGCCTTGTGGTTCTGGGAAGACCCTCCCCATTCCCTCAGAGATGCCAAGCAGCCATGACATTTTTCAGGCTGCTTTGTCCTTCAGCAAGCGGGGGATGATAAAAATTATCCTCCTGGAGCCTGGGTGGCGCAGGCGGGTGGCGCTGACAAGCCGTATGCCAACTTCTTCGGCCTCAGCTACGCTGGTGGTGGGAAGAGGCAGTCACCGAAATCCCTGCGGTGGGAAGAGGCAGTCACCGAAATCCCTGCGGTGGGAAGAGGCAGTCACCGAAATCCCTGCGGTGGGAAGAGGCAGTCACCGAAATCCCTGCGGTGGGAAGAGGCAGTCACCGAAATCCCTGCGGTGGGAAGAGGCAGTCAGTCACCGAAATCCCTGCGGGGGGAAGAGGCAGTCACCAAAATCCCTGCGGTGTGAAGAGGGTGTCACCAAAATCCCTGCAGTGGGAACAGGCAGTCACCGAAATCCCTGCAGTGGGAACAGGCAGTCACCGAAATCCCTGCGGTGGGATCGTCAGGGCGTTTGGGAGGGAGTGAGGAGGAGAACCAGGCACCTCTCTGCCTCTGCTGCCTGGACACCAGGACTCGCCAGGGTTTGTGACATCACTGTGACTTCACTTCCTGCCGTGAGGCCGTGGCTGGGGGAGAGGAACCAATCAGCTGCAGAAGCTCTTTTTTTGGCAGCAGGAGGATAAGCTGGGTCCTCGTGGCTGCAGAGCCGACCCCATGGGATGCCTGTGGGCAGAGGGGAGCTCACGAAGCCACTGGAGACCCCCAGTGTTGGGGGGGACCGGCCAGCCCTGGGCAAGCAGCGTGGGGCAGAGGGGACAGCCCCCAGCGGGAAGGTGAAGGGGCGGGCATTTGGGGTGCAGGGCTCACCCCGGGCAGAGGCCGGAGGCACCAGCAGCACCGTGGCCGGCAGCACGGCGTCGCGGTGGTGCCGATGTGATTCAGCCCCTGTTGCCAGCTGGCACCGGGAAGCGTCAGCGATACCGGGCGCCGCGAACGCAGAGCGGCACGAGCCAGGAGACGAACGAAAATAAACCCACTTACCACTTCCACCCCAACACACCCACGCAGCGCACGGTGCCGCCATGGGAAAGGCAGACGGGCAGGCGAGAAGCCCTGGGCTGGGGACTGCCGGCGCACGGAGATGCCACGCTGGATGGTGGTGTAGCCACCGTCCCCCCTTAGCAACCGGTGGCCCAGGGCCACTGCTGGCAACCCTGCCTGCAAAATGGGATGCCGGGGGTCCATACCAGGAGACCAAACCCAATGCAAACGCGGTTCAAACGGCTGTGAAACAGTCCTGTTGCTCCTGAGAAGCCTGAAACACAAATGGGATGAATGGGGAAGGTTCAGGGATGCCTCCAGCAAAAGGGGGGGACCTTCACATCCCAAACAGGGAGCTGCTTGTCACATGGACCCGGGGGAGGAAAGCCAAGGAGAGACGCGAATCCCAGAGCATGCCCAATGACCTTTCTTGGAGCTTGCTTTGCCTCCTGGGACCCACCCGTGACAGGGAAGCCAGGGGGTGAGCGGTGACTGAGGGGATGAAACCATGCTGTGGGTGCAGCATGGGGCAGGCTGGGAGATGCCAGGCAGGAGGCTGTGCTCCGGAGAGATGCCTCTCCATCCCTCCGCCGCCCCATCCCCAGCATGCACGAGCACCGCCGTGTTTCACAGCCTGGGGAAGCCCCCCAGCACTTGGGGAAGCTTAGGTGTCACAGCCACTGTCCTGCAAGGTGTCAGCTGTCAGCCAGGTGGGTCTCCAGGGGCCAACAGCTGCCTCCAGCCCTGCAGCCCAGGCTGCCCTTCCCTCCTTCCCACCCACCTTCCCAGACCCTAGGCTGAGCGACGGTAGGGACACCGTGCTGGTCACCCCTGCCATCCCAGGTGACGCTGTGCCTCAGCAGCCCAAGCCACCGCCCCAGCCTGCGCTGCCCCCCCGCTGCTGCTCCGACCCCCAGCAGACCTGGGGGGCCAGGCTGCTGCCATCGCTTTCCGAGGGATCTGTGGTCTGATCACCGTCAGGGCGCATGGGGCGGATGCAATGCCCCCATCACCCCATCCCCAGGGCACGGCGCAGCGCCTCGCATGTCCCAGGCTTTCTCCAGCCCCTGCCAGAGCGGATCAGATGCTGTCAATCCCGCCTGGAATCTGCGGTGGAAGAGTCTCATGAAACAGAACAGAAAAGTCCACGTTGAAGCACTCCCCCACTTCTCTTTTTATAACAACCGTATCTGGTGCTCTGGGACGCACACCGCGAACGACGACGATGGAAAAATCCCAGGGTATTTTTACACTCCTAGTCTTTGCTTTATCTGTAGTCGTCTGGCAAACGCTTCCCTCCTGTCTGTGGTCAATACCACAGCCGCTGCCGGCGCTGCGCCTTTTTTCTACGCCTCTTCCCGGCTGCGTAGCATCGTCCGGTTCAGAGATCAGTGTCCACAGCCCCATCCCGCCGGCTCAGGCACGGGACACCACAGACGTTCTCACCTCTCGGGGAGCCAGGGTGCAAACGCCTGCGGCAGAGAGGTGACCCCTTCGGCTTTCAGCGGAGACCGGCAGCCCCACCGAAT